GTAAGTCTTCGGAAGGACTACAATTCTCGGTTCATCACAAGTCCAGCATAGCTCCACATATTATACCAGCAGAGGCTTTTCAGCCTTCTCGATATGTCAATGCTGCCATTGCCTCTCTCGTTAGAAGGGCTTACTTACTATCATCTTCGCAAGAGCTGGTAAACATGGAGTTAGACAACATAAGTTTGGGGGTACGCACTGCTGGCTTTTCACGTGCAAAATTTACGCACGTGCTCAATATGGTAAAGAAATCACTGTTTCCAAGTACCACATTATGCAGCAAAAGAGAATTTTCAATGGTACAAACATCGTTGCCATACCTGGGACCCCTCTCTATACGTATCTGCAGAATCTTTAAGCAGCACGGCCTTATACTACCACTAACCCCACTTCCAAACCTACGCAAACTCATTTGTAATGATAGGGACAAATTTTCCACGCTTGAGAAGTCGGGGGTCTATGCTGTACCTCTGGAAAACCTTACAACGGGAGTAAATGCAAGATATGTCGGGGCCACTACTAGAATGCTTGCCAGCCGACTAGAAGAGCACCAAAACGATGTTGCGAGGGGTAGACACACCACCGAGCTCGCAAGAAAAGTACTTGAGCAGGGTTACAACCCGCTATGGTCCCAAGCGGTTATGCTCAAGAGCTGTAAGGATCGAAAAATCGTATTTATATGGGAGTCTCTTCTTACTACCACCTTGGACACGTGCAACATTCCAACTCTCGAGCTGCCCAGTGTATGGGTCACACTATACAAGCAATTAAGTAAAAATTAGCATTCTCCAGAATGCGTACAGTGTGTGTCTAGATCTGCGCATGCGCGTATTCGCACATCATGGAGCTTTCTGCTCGTTCGTTTTTCGAACATTTTTGAATATTTCTATCGTGTTCCTAACGACTTTTACTAAAGTTTCATCTTAAATTTAAGCGTTCTATTCCAAATCGGATTATTTCCGTTTAATTCTTTCGATAATTCGCCTGATGACGACGGCTATATGTTCGTCGAAAGTACTAGCGAATAAAAAACGCACACATAACGCCGACCTCAGTGCCTTCCCTTTTTTACAATATAATATTTTGGCGTGATCGTCAGCAAATTGATCATATATTTTGTTAATTTATTAAATAAAATAAATGATAAGGAATATTATTCAAATTATGAATTAAATATCTCTAATTGTATTATTACACTTTATTCTTTGTGTAAAAGACTTAGAAGTTTTAATAGAAGTTATTGTTTAGGATGCTTCACATGAAAACATAAAGCTATCTTTGCCAAATCCGACTTGTACTTGATTTTGGCTTTCCAACAACTTACTGTTAGTTATTTTTTTACAGAAAGTGAGTTTTTTTAAAAATAAACCTTTTCCTTATATAATATATATTTATCTTATTTAAATATGTTTTGAGAATTTAATATGATACAAACAGCACATTTCCTGATTTGAAACAAAAAGATAAATTATAAAATTCAAAGTTCGAAGAACATCTCTGCTTCACCTGTTACGTATTATGAACTTGTGGGTGTTCACATGTTGAATTGAATCTGATTTCTCCAATTTTCAAGGTGTCACATGGCTTAACCAATGGAAACATTAGTTTACCAAGATAAAGAGTACATACCTTCAAAGTATTTATCAAAATAGATAATATGATGAAAGTTATCATTTTCTTATCAGTGACTAAAACATATTTGATTATTATCTATTATTAAAACAAGTAAAATGCTAAGCTAAATAAAAGTAATATCTGAGTTATAAAAATATATAGTTTCTACAAACTTTGTGTTGACGATAGTTTTTTGAAAGATAATGCTGTACAAAAATATTTATCATAAAAACAAATGTGTGCAAAGATTTTAAATTTGAAATTAAATTGGAGTTCCTGAATTAGTACAGAAAATACATTTATGATACCATAATTTGATCCTCTGTTCATTTGTTGTTGTTATTTGTTGTGTTTTTAAGATATGTTAGTCTTGTGACTAATACATTGTAATTAACCGTAAGACAGTTTTGAAGGCAGATAACAAATTTAATAGAAATAAAGTATATATAAATAATTATTCTGTTTGATCTTTTGTATATCTAATCCGGCCCACCAGTGGCCGAGTGGTCTCCGTTGCCGCTCATAGCAGTGGTGACTGGACCCTAAACACTGGGAAGTTCGGTCGTGGGTTAGTGCCGCGATTGGACAGGCTGGCTGCTTGGAGTTTTCCGGGTTTTCTCCTTGCCAATAACGACTAAATAGGAGGCCAGTTCCCATAAAAGTCCTCCCGGAAGGCATTCTTTCCCCGTGCGCGCGTGACACATCATTCAAGGAAGAAGGCAATGGCAAACCACTTCCTCAACTCTTGCCAAGAAAACTACATGGACAAGGACAGACTTGTCCATGCAGTCACCAGGAGTCGACGACGACGACTTGATGGAACTTAACAACAACAATATCTAATCCAGTGTTTTTCAACTGGGATGCCACAGTACCACGATTGGGGTGTCACAAAGTTTAGGGCCTTTAGGCATTTTCTTGGAAATTTACTTAAGTGTATTTCAAGATAACTCATTGTCAGTTTTATTTTGCTACGAGATATCTAAGCAAAGAAACAATGACTAATCGCATGTTAATATAATGTTCTACGCTACGTGTATGCACGACTTGTCACAAGTTTGCCCAAACCACATTGCTTGGCCTTCACATTTCCAGTCCCAGTACCAAGCCAACCAGCAGAGAAGAACGACATGGACACTTGCATCTTGTATATACTTTAAAAAGCATTGCATTGTACTTTGAAAAGCGTGTGGTTTCAATCACAAAATAGGTGCATATTACAGTATTTTCATAGTATTCGAAAGCAATGATGACAAATAAACAAT